AGTCTATTACAACAAACAATTGTGTGCATGGTTTTTAAATAATACCTATTATAATGTTTATAAATAATTTGTATCCAATATCTTGGGGATATATAAATGTAATAGTAACATCGATCGATCATATATTAAAATATATATTAATAAACTAAAAAAAAAAACTAGAATGTACCTCTTCTATTTGTTGCTTGTATTTGTTGATAAATAATACCATCAGATAACGTGCTCCATGTTTTTTCCCAAACATGTCGTGGTCTATTAATTGTTCCAGACAGTAACATAGTAACAAATAACTTTCTCAAAGAATGTCTAGAACCCCAATCTTTTGCCTTATTTATGGCTGCTACATACTCCTTGTCATCGTTAAGAAATCCCATTTCAAAGCATGTGTCCCGGAAACTATCCTGAATTATTCCACCCACTTTTTAAATATCATCATAACATATTAGCCCCTTGACAACTGTAAGCAGCATTCTTAGGTAATACAGCTTACCGGTACTTAGAGGGACCCAAATTAGTCTTCCAATTGCATGGCCTCTCTTACGTGGTCTCCATTGTCGATATCTTTTATCATAAACAAACTTGGTCAAAAAATTAGAGTATGTCAGATTTCTTGCCTCTGCATATGTCTTGTTTGCTTCCATCCAAGCGGTAAACATTAATTCTTTCACACTCGGTTTGTCAAGGACTTCATCTATCAGTTCATAATCAGTATAGTAAACTGAATTGTCGCCCTGAAGATGAAAATACAACCTTTCAACTGCAGGATATCTCCCACGAATAGGAAATGAAAAGATCCTCCAACATGCTTCACTTGGTGAGACATATCTACAATCAAGATATTGCTTGATTTCATCGATATTTCTAATATGTGAAGATCCGTCTGTCTCATTATCGACAATAACTGCGGTAATTCTGTCACACCCCTTGTTAATATACTTGAATAAGTACTTAACCGAAGTACCCTGATTACACCACTCCACATTGATGTGTCCCTGAAATTTCTTCAACAGAAAAGGGTTATAAGGAACAACATATCTGTTATCGGGCACTACATTCTTCTTCATCACTGTAATTCCAGTTTCCCTTCTTTTGTGCATAGGATATCCATCGTGATCAACAACTGTTTGAGGCTGATATTGTTTGGGAAAGAATTTAGAGCACTTCCCATTTTTCATGCAAGGTGAAGACTGATTTGCTAAACCACATGGCCCATGAATCATATGTGTCTTGACCAAATGATACAATTGTCTATCATAATTTTCAGATGGTATCTCTGCTGAAATGATATTGTTTATGTCATCTGGAGTGGGATACTTGCTTGAGGGATGCATGAATAGCAGAATATGTGCATGTGGCAATTCGCGCTTTTGGAACTCAATTGTGTATATATATGAAAATATTGATATTAGTAACAAAACATGTATATAAAATATATTCCATTTATATAGATAAAGTCATATAATGAGAACTTGACGATTATTTAGTAAATTCAACTTACATGCAACCACTCTCCAACCACTCTCCCTAAGACATGCTTCTTTGTTAGATCACACAACAACTCCTCTAACTTAATTTTAAACACTCTTGATATAATATTTGGACGATCATGAGGTTGCAGATTAACTTTGTTAAGTAACCTTTGAATTTATGGCCAATTTGGATTGCATGTAAAAGTGATAAACAGGTCTGGAAAACCAATATGGCTGCATATTGCCATCCCATCAAAATACAGTTGTTCCATGTATCTACGGCTTCCAACATAGATTAACGGTAAAATGACTCTTTTACCTTTGTTTGCCCCTTGAGTGTTTTCCCTTTGTTCGGGACCAGACGGATTGGAGTACTTAGACACTCTAAGTTTTTTCTGATGCTTGCGGATATAATTCAATCTTTGGGACTCCATCATAGTAAATCCATCGACTAAAAATTGCTGAAACAACCGCCTTGACCTCAAAAGAGTATGTGCTTCATTTTGACGGCTTTGAATCCTAAAAGCTAGCCATTATCTAATGGTAAGCTTATTTTGCTTACCTTTTTTATTGCATTTATATCTCTATGCAGAACACCAAGTCTAAAACCATCTTCCCCAAATGGAAACAGAAGCGGATATTGTAACACAAGATAAGTTGGATGAAACTCACTTATTCTTTTCAGCTTTCCAGTCTGTTTTTCAATAATTATATCCCTTTTAGAACTTGTATCAACATCACCAACGGTAAGTGCAGCTACCTCAGAAATAGTCGGTTGGTTGTACGTTCTTCCATCCTTTGATCTGTCAGCTATTAACTTCAGCTTTAGATCAAGCACGAGAGTATCCTTTAATCTATCTACAACTATTCTAAATGATTTAGCGTGTGTGTTGAACTCATCCAGCATAGCTTTCAATTTATTGACAGTTCCTGTAACAATATTGGGATTGTTACTGCAAAATAGAAATAATAGTTAGCATTAATAAAAAAAGCAACAAAAAAAATTTAATGTCATCATGCTCGGTAAGAACAGAAGCAATACCCTATTCCTTCAATTCTATTTTGAATCTCATTGTCAGTGTCGTAAATATAAAGTTGCGCAAACTTAGGTGATTGTCCAGGCAAAGGTATCATGCTCCTAATTCTATGACAAGACTGTCCATGTATTCTTATGTTAGGTGGTCCTCTACCATTTTGGAATCTATTATCAAAATTCATTCCAGGAGAAGTAAATGCAAACATAATGTTGTATAATCTGCAATGCTGCTGGTAATTTTGACAGTCTACATCATTGTTATCAAACAAAATATGTTTAAGTAATGGTGGTAGTGTTTTCAAAAGTGGTAACACAACTTTCCCATTTACACAACATAACTAGAACTTGGAAACTGCACTATGTTTTCGTTTGTCTGTCTTTTCTTGATACCACATTAGTGCTCCGCAATGAGTGCATTCAATTGCAGAATCACCAATGTCTGAATAACCTAAATAAATCAAAGATAATGTAACATATCATGTAAAAAAGCAGGAAGTTTAAGCATCTTTGATTGGTCTCTTTGAAATTTACGAGTCGTGTAACTACTAATAAAATATGAGGATTTCGACACGTACCAGAGTTGAGACAATAAACCGGTGTAGAAGGGATATCATAGTATTAATCTTCATCTGAACACGAAGATGTGTCATCGTCGGCCTTTTTATTTATGAATTCGCATGAACTATCGCTGAAATATTCATCAGTTGAACATTCTTCATCTGACACATCACTTTCAATGTTAGCAGTTGTAGTAGAAATGTTAGCATTTGTAGTAGATGGTAAATGATTTGTGGATGAAGAGGCAACATCATGATCAATGTTTGAAAAGGCATTGAAAATATTGGCAGCAACCGACCGAATGACACCAACATTCAACTGTATTTTATATGAATATACATATCCACTTGACTGTGCATGTATATTTTATTGTACCTTTGATTATACGATGAGGATGTTATTCCACATGGAGTCGTATCTGAATTTTTAATGAGTGCGGAATGGTTCAACACATCACCACCATTATTGTTAACAGTATTGTCGTCATGTATACTTGACACATTAGCCTTCTGTCTAATAATTCTCATCCTTCTTTGCCTTGCACACGCAGATGAATATGGTGGGGACAAATGATTAAAAGTAATGTTAAATTTGGAGCTACCTAATGAAGATGTTGGTGTCTTGATATTAGATAATGACGAAGATGCAGAATATCGATTCTCACGACCAAACAACTTATGGAGATTTGACAAAACAACATGATTCACACCCACGTTCAATCTATGTGCATTATCAAGAACAGTTCCAATTGGCTTTGAATTGAAAATTTGCTTCGTCGCATTCAAAACTGAAGAAGTAATATTGGATAGTGGTGTTATGAAAGGATTTTTGGCAGGACTACTGATGTCATTAACTCGGTTCCTCTTATATCTTCTATCTTTTATAATTTTCTTCCTTTTGCTTCTTGCCAATGTTGCTAATTTTTTTTCTGTCTACAATATGTGAATCCATCTTAGTTGAATAACACAAACTAACCACAAATTGAGCATGTAAAATCAGGCAATGAAACATTCAATAACTAATACAGTTTGCAAGCTCATTATGTATTTGTAGTTTTTAATGATATGAACATTCATGAACTAATTTGTTTGTTATGGGTTCTATGTAAATGTAACATCTTCTATCTCATGATGTTCATTATTAAATTAACGATTATGTAAAGATAAGCCATAGTATTTAAAAAAAAGTATGAGGGTTTTGGAAAATGTAAAGACCTATACATAAAAATAAAATTAAACATGATAATATGAAGCACGTTGGAAACAGAACTTAACTTATTATTCAATAAGTTAAGAGGTAATACATGTATCTGGTATACATTGAGATACTACCATCATCATTACAATTTACATAGGATTAAATATATAACTAATGCTTTGTTTCCGTAGTTATAATTATAATATACAATACACTTTATAAACTTTATCGATTTTAAGAAAACGAAAAAAGCTGAAGTTAATAGTAGTAACCAAAGTGTAATAATGCACATGTTGGAAGCTTAAGTGAAAAGGGAATATTACTGCAGTAACAAAAATATTTGTGGGCTTCAATGAATGACACGGTATACCAAGAAATATAATAGGGATGGTCCAAAGATTTTCTGCATTAGTAGGTATTGTGACATCAAATCAAATAAAGACCTTTAACCATTCTTAGAAGTAACATATGCATGTCTTTAATTATATTTAAAGGAGAACTTGTGTATGATATGCTTGCATTCATATTGAAATTGTTCTCTCTCCATATCAGAAGGTTTTCTAAGAGAAACGGGCTGCATGTCTTCTCCAAACTTGAGTGGGTAAGTCTCAATTCCTGAAATTCCTTATCCATTTTTGCTGTGTTATTAATATGGTTGCATGCATTTGTTTGAAGTAGTCATTCATGAATTGTGATTACTGGACAAATTTGTGCCACTAAACACCTCTCAACTTTATGATATGCTATCCAACATTAAGGAAGAGTCAAAGACAGAGTTACATGAGAAAGCTTCTGTCGATGTGTTGTATCATGAAATCAATGTTGCAAGGAAGGAAGTGAAAAAGGAGAGCCTCAATGGAGAACCTTTAAATCCGAATGGAGGTGTGGGAGAGTTGAAGGAAAAGATGACATGGTTAAAAGAGATAAGCAAAGCTGGAAAGAAGGGGAATTAAGTTTTTGTAATTAATATCATTAACTATATGAGTCAGTCAATTACATTGCATATAATTTAGATTTTTGGATACTGATTGTATATGTTCTGACATGCAGCATTTCCTAGCTAACATGATAGAAAATTGCCTTCGTCCCGGCATTAGCTCGTGCCTTGTTAGGGATTTTCACACCGGCGAGTATCATTAGTGCAAGATAATGAAATCTAACAAGAAATATATGGAAATGTAATTGGGAAAAAGGTGGTATTCATATACTAAGGGGAAAAAATAAAGGTGGGAGATACGCTTGCATGCACCTACAATTCAGATAAGAAAATCCTGTTTGTGAGGTTGTATCGAAAAGATGAAATTCAGATAAAAGAGTGAAGTGGATATTATGTATGTTTTGGCTGGAAAAAACCAAGAGTTTTGTACCAAGTTGGGAATAATGTTATGTTCTATGTTTAGTTATGGGAATGATATCATGTTTATGTTTATCTTTGTTACATGTTTTGTTAACACCTTACTATTAGGGATGCACCGTTTATATAATGGATTACTTTAATTAGCTGTTAGCATCTCAGTGGATAAGTCTACTAAGTATCATAGTGTATAACTGCTTTTGCAAAATGTATTTCACAAGTTTGGTGTTCCTGTAGTTAATATTATAAACCAAATATGTTTCTAACAATTGCTTGCTTCATATAGTCTAATCATCTTCTTACCATATACCACGTAAGACATCTAAATATGTAACAATTACATTAACTGAATAGTGTGGAAGATATAGAAACATATTATATTTAGAGGAAAATGATTGTATGTACCTGCTTCTTCATCGAATTGCATGAAGTCAAATAAATGACTATTCATTTTTGTAGTGAAGTATAAGATTTAAAGGTTTTAGGCCTGTAATAAATGAAAAATTGAAAGTTTTATTGATCATGACACAACAAGAGAATATTGAAACCACGTAGAGATAGCGTATATAAAAAGAGAATTATTTAAGAAGTTTAAACAATGTAGAAACTAATTGTTTTCTGACACCATTAAAAACATGATATAAACTATGAATTCACATCTATATTGAAGTTAATGAAACACCATAAGTTATTGAGTATATTTAAAACAGATTTTGCATTGGTTCGGGACACATACGACTAAAATTATGTGACAGTAATAGACTCATATATACTTGGTGCACGCCGCGGTATAACATTCAAAAACAATTAACCAAAATATAAGATGGAGTTCGACAATCCTCATTCAAGGATATTAAAGAGATAAAACTGAATTTTTTTGAAACAGATCCAAAGTTTTCAAGGCAAGAAACTACAAACAATTAGATAGGTTTCTTCAAAACTAACAGTAACTTAAAATAACATAAATATGAATATAACTACTTCTCATTCTTTATATCCTTAATTAACTTGGTTGCAGAAAGTTGGACACTCTCAATATCTTCAACAACATCAGATAAAGTCCTTTTTGGTGGAGTCAGACTTGAATTTCCTACATCATGGTCATAATCGGCACCAGCGGATAAAGGTTCCTGCTGGTAATATGGATATAATATATCAGCATTAGACAATGTATGTAGATATTTGTTTTATATATGTTAAATTGTAATTCAGTGTGTCGAAACTGTGTCGAAAATATTTGATTTGTTTTAGATTTAAATAGATTTGATTTAAGTCTAGAATAGATTAGATTTGATTTAGTAACAAAATAGATATTTTGGGCTTTGGGCTTAGAGTGTAAGCTCAGTTATAAATAGAGGGAGTAACCCTTATTTTTGTAAGTAAGTCAAGCAAGTCATTCACAGTATTTTGCAGTTGCAAAGTGAATAAGAAAGTTTTCACAGTTTGTGAGCAGAGAGAAACTATGCAGAAATTATTCATCTTGTCTTCTTTTCTTTGTTTGTCTCATAATTAAATTTTCATTATGGTAGAAATTCATCATAGAATTTGGTGGATTTCAAACATCTGGTATCAAGAGCTTTGTTTTGATTCAAGGGAAGTATTAATCAAAAAACAATTGAAGAATTCATGATGACAAGTTATGGGAATACAAACTATCCAACAACCCTACCAATTCTGAAAGTTGATAACTATGAGAATTGGTGCAAGCAGATGAAAGTCTTATTCAGGTGTCAAGGTCTTTGGGATCTTGTAAAAGATGGATTCGAAGTGCTTGGAGAAAATGCTTCAGAAGAAGAAAAGAAGAAATACACAGGATCCGAGAAGCTAAGTTATAAAGCATTATTTATAATTCATCAATGTGTCAGCCCAGACAGTTTCGAAAAGGTTAGTGATTCAAAATCTGCAAAAGAAGCTTGAGAAATCCTTGAGAAGTCTTTTGGAGGCGCTGAGAAGGTGAAAGAAGTGAGGTTACAAACTCACAAAAGGACGTATGAACTGCTTTAGATGGAAGACAGTGAAAGCATATCTGATTTCTTCACTAGAGTTGCAAAACTAGTAAATCAAATCAAGATATGTGGAGAAACATTAACAACAAGAGTTGTTGTTTCAAAGATCTTGAGATCTTTAGCTCCTAAGTTTGACCACATAGTGGTGGCGATAGAAGAGGGGAAAGACTTGTCGAAATTGACAAAGGAAGAGCTTCAAGGGACGCTTGAATCTCATGAACAAAGAATGAATGAAAGAGCTGCAGGCAAATCGAAGAGTGGTGTGGCCTTGCATGCACATTCAGCAAAAGAAACCAAAGGAAAAGGAAAATGTTTTGATAGAGGTAAAGGTGGCTACAACAAATCGAATGGTAGAGGAAACTAGATCTAAGGAAACGTGTCGAATCAAAGAAGACCATACCAAGGCAACCAAAGAGGTGGTGTTGCAAATAGAGGAAGAGGTGGTGGTCAAAAACCTGATAAGAGTCACATTCAATGTTACAATTGTCAGAAGTATGGACACTATTCGAGTGATTGTCCAGAAAAACGAAAGAATCAAGAAAGTGATGCAAAGCTTGCAAAACATGAAGAAGAAGAGATGATGTTGATGGTCATAACAAGAGATGAAGATAGATTCAAGGACTAATGGTACTTGGATTCAGGATGTTCATCACATATGTCTGGAAGGAAAGACTGGTTTGTCAATATAAATCCCTCAATGAAAAATATGGTAAAATTTGCAAATGACAATACCCTAGAAGCTGAAGGTATTGGTGATGTTATGATTATGAGGAAAGACGGTAAGAGGTCTGTAATTTCCAATGTATTGTACATACCAGGCATCAAGAGAAATTTGCTCAGTATACGGCAGTTGGTCGAAAAGAATTATAAAGTGTCAATCGAAGATAAGATGATGAGAGTCGTTGATGCAAATGGGAGATTAATCTTGAAGGCTCATATGTCTCAAAATCGAACCTTCAAGATTGAACTAAATGTGATGGAGCACAAGTGCCTTTCGACTGCAGCTAGATGAGATGAATGGATATGGCATTATAGACTGTTGGTGTAAGCCCTAGAGGCCAATACTTTTGGTACTTGTATCGAATTATTTATTAATAATAAAAGGCATTTCTTTATTATGTTTGCTTTCCAAAATAATAAAGTCCCTAGAATGGTTTATTTGTTTAATGAAATGTTAAGTGTGACTTAATCATGAGATCCCATTAAACATAAGACACTATTCTTAAAGTATCTGTAGTCAAGCTTTAATGTGAAGTGGGATAACATTAAAGCATTAAGATTATTATGAAGATAGATTGATGATCACATCTCATGGATCATAGATAAGGAGTTATCAAGTCTTGATATATGTATGAATATTAGGAGTAATATTTATACTGGATTGACCCGCTATGAGAATACTACATAGAATGTTATGCAAAGTGTCATAAGTTATTCTCATGATGATAATGGTGTATACCACCCTTCGACCTGAAACCACTATGGACCCTAGATGTAGAGTCAAGTACTTTATTGTTGATCAAACGTCATCCGTAACTGGATGACTATAAAGACGGTTGATGGGTACTTCACAAAGCATGCTAAGGGACATGAGTGACCTAGATGGAATTTGCTCATCCTGCATAACAGGATAAATGTCTAAGGGCCCAATATTGAACTGGACAAGGGTGACACAGTGTATGCCTTGTGTTCAATATAGACATGAGGGCAAAAGGGTAATTGTACAACACAAATATTATCACAGAAAAGGTTTGGTCATATCACATGACATTTTCGTGACTTGGGTAACAGTGATGTGTTGCTAGATACCGCTCACTGTTTATTATATTAAATGTGTGATTTAATATAATTGCCAACGTCGCGAAAACCTACAGGGTTACACACATAAGGACAGGTTGATGAGAGATAGAATAAATAAGGAACATCGTAAGGTACGGTGCACTTAAGTGTAATACGGAAAGTGGTAAGGTACCACGTGGATAAGTGATATATGGTACATCATAAGGTATGATGTCCATAAGCTTAATTGGGCTTTTAGCTTATAGCCTTAATTGGGCTTTTAGCTTGTAGCCCACACGAGTGATTCTATAAATAGATCCCTTGTGATGAAGCAATTTCACTTGATGCAATTTCGTTTTTGATTCTCTCTCTCACTCAAGGTTTCCATTCGTGATCAGCTAGCACTGTGAGCGGAGGCGATCTGTTCGTGTGGACTGAGTAGAGGCGTTGTTCTTCATCAACGCTCGTGATCACAACATCAAAGGTCTGAATCGCCACAAGAGGTAAATATTTCTATCACTGACCATGTTCATTCTTAAGGATCGCTAAAGGAAAATTTTAAATTCCGCTGCGTTTTTTATCGCAATTTTCCTTCATAGACTAGGCCATCTTAACTTCAGAGACATCAGAGATTTGAAGAGAAGAAATATGGTTTCAGGATTGCCAGAAATCGACATTCCAAACGAGGTATGTGAGGAATGTGTGCAGGTGAAACAGCACAAGAATAGCTTCAGCAAGGATGCAGGAAGCAGGTCGAAGGCTAGTCTTGAAGTCATATACTCTGATGTATGTGGACCAATCCAGGTGGATTCGATGGGAGGTAACAAATACTTTGTTACATTCATAGATGATTTCAGTCGAAAGATGTGGACTTATCTGATCAAGAATAAAAGTGAAGTGATCGAAGTATTTTCCAAGTTTAAGTCTATGGTCGAAAGACAGATTGGTCGAAATCTCAAAATTTTAAGAACTGATGGTGGTGGAGAATATGTGTCGAAAGACTTCGACATGCTATGTGAAAAGGAAGGGATTGTGCATGAGGTGGTGCCACCCTATACTCCATAACAAAATGGAATTGCAGAAAGGAAGAATCTAACCATCATGAATATGGTGAGAAGTATGTTGAAAGGAAAGAATTTACCTAAAGAGTTTTGGGGTGAAGCTGTTTCGACTGCAACATACATTTTGAACAAATGTCCTACAAAGAAGCTAGAAGGAATTACTCCAGAAGAATGTTGGTCTGGTGTGAAGCCTAGCTTGAGTCATCTGAAGGTATTTGGATCTATTGCACATAGACATGTGCCAGATCAGTTGAGAAGAAAACTTGATGACAAGTCAAGTCAAATGATTCTAGTTGGATATCATTCGACGAGAGGCTACAAGTTGTTCGATCCAGTGAAAAAGCAGATTGTGATCAGCAGGGACATGGTCATAGATGAGTTTAAAGAATGAGATTGGACTAAAAATGTTAAGAAAGATTCAGTGGGAATCCTACTTAAAAAGCCAAAAACTCAAGTCGAAAGAGAAGTTCGACAAGAGGAACCAGCAGATATACCAAGTACAAATAGGCCTCAAAGAACAAGACGCATGCCTGCAAGATTGCAAGATTGTGTGATTATATCAGATGATGTAATAGATAATGAAGTTGAGCTGATACATTATGCTTTCTATGCAGATGTCGAACCTGTTAATGCAGCTGAAGCATTGAAGGATTCGAAGTGGGTGAAAGGAATGAACGAAGAAGTGAAGTCTATCGAAGACAACAACACTTGGTCACTTGTCGAATTGCCTCAAGGCAAGAAGGCAATTGATGTCAAGTGGGTATACAAAGTGAAAACGAATTCTAAAGGGGAAGTAACTCGACACAAAGCAAGGCTTGTGGCGAAAGGATTTTTACAGAAAGAAGGAATAGACTTCGATGAAGTTTTTACACCTGTTGCTAGGATCGAAACAATCAGGTTGGTTGTTGGTCTAGCAGAAATAAACAGTTGGCACACATGTCAGATGGACGTGAAGTGTGCATTCCTAAACGGACCCTTAGATGAAGAAGTCTATGTTAAACAACCAGTTGGGTTTGTGAAACATGACGAAGAAAGAAAGGTGTACATGCTGCATAAAGCCCTGTATGGATTGAAACAATCTCCAAGAGCTTGGAATAAGAAAATTGATAGTTTCCTAAGGGAGAAGGAATTTGTAAAGTGCACAACTAAACATGGAGTATATGTAAGAAGAAGCAAGAGTGAATTGCTTATACTATGTCTCTGTGTAGATGATTTGTTGATAATAGGTAGCTGCAAGAGTGAGATCGAAGACTTCAAAGATGATCTCAGCAAGGAATTAGAAATGTCTGATTTGGGTGAGATTTCATATTTCCTTGGTA